AAAGGAAAAAAAAATTAGTGTGACTTGGTTATAACAAATGGCTTAATGGCATGTGTTGCATTGTAATATAAGGTTTGAAAGCATTTTATTAAGTAAAGCAATTTGAGTTGTTGTGTTATTAAAAGGGGGAAAAAGAGAGAGAGAAAGAAAGTGATCTGGGTTCATTCGATCAAATGAGTCATGCCCATTGCAAAAATGTACCATTCAAAGTGTTGTAGCAATGTGATATGCATCCATGCATGGAAGCCTGGTATGGGGTATCAAGGAATTTATTAGCAAAGATTGGATTAATGTGGAAAAAGACCCGTTAGGACATAATTTGTTTGACGAATCCGTGTACTTCACCTACAAAAATGTTACATTGTGATAAGTATTTGTCTCATTCATTAATTATAATACCATAATTTTTTCATACAATCCAATTCTCATTGTAAAAAAGAAAAAAAAAAACAATCATGGGAGCTTCGTTTGTTGCATGTACCCTGATACCTCCATTCCAAATGTACTTTGCACAATTCGGGAGTTTTTTACGTCAATGAATCAAAAGAGGATCTTTGTATTTTTCGTTTTTATGGTAGTTCTTGACAAACCAATACCCATATTTTTGTTTTCATGTACTCAATTATATAAATTTTCCTGTTCATGACAATTGCAAATGTTCAAAATGTGTTTCAAGGTAATAGATATTTGCATCTTTTAACATATCTCTTTTGTATGGTAAAGTAAATTACCATGTTCTCAACAAGATTCCAGATATTTTGATGCTCATTTTTAAGAATTCCCGATCCCAACCCCTTTTAAAAATAAAAAATTTAAAAAGTTCCCAATATTTGAGTCGTATAAAGTCTAAGTTCTTTTGAAAGATTTCGAACTATCTGAAAAGAAAGGCTAAACTAAAGTGTTCGTGTAGTTAAATCACCTTTGTTTATTAGTTTGCTGATTATTTAGTGCATACCTTTACACAGAGAAATTATTTTCTATAGCCAAAATATCTAACAATTCTTATATATTAGAATCATATCAACACCGATGTGACACAGATCTTTATCTTCAATATCCAAATTTGTAACTGTGGAACTTTTGACGGTATAAAGTTAAAATTCTTTTTGCTCAAATTATTGAGAATGAAATTAAAAACGCTAAACGAGGCCGGTGAATGGAGTTATAGGTTCACCTCTGTATTCATAGTTTATGGATTCTCATTCTCAATTATAATATAAAGCATCTAGGTACAACTTACAAGGTGTACTTTAGGTGAATACCACGCGTCCAAAAAGAGGATAAAAAGAAAATTCAAATTTTCTAATATCTCTCTTAATTTTCAACTATCATTAATCATATCCATCTAACTTTCTATTCATTTCTAAAGACGTCTTAAATTAAAAAATCTAAAAAAATAAAATACTCTCTGCAACGATTTGGCATCGAAACATCTCGTCGGCGGTATTTTTGAAGACGGAATCCTATTGTGCATCAAATCATGTGAGTTTGGTTGCAATATATACTGTTGAATATGAGATTACGGTAAGATTTGAGATTATTCATCTATTTTTTGTTTTGTCCGGTGAATTCTGTTTGAAATTCTCAAAATCAATGATTGGTAATTTCAAATTACCAATTTCATACCGTTCGATGAATTGTCAAAAGTTTATGGATTTAGATCTCTTGCGAAAAAGAACAAAATTCAGATTTTGTGGATCGTCAGAGGTTTATAATTGGGTTTTAATCTCTTCAACAATTGATGTGTTTTTTTTTTATTGGATTATGTAGATATAAGGTATTTGCATTCGATTATAGATTTTTGTTCATCAATTTTTAAGTATTCTTCATCGTTCTGTTGTTGATTTTGGAAAAGACTAATAGATTTGGACATTATTCATTAATTCGTATTCAATATTCATCCTTGAAACTAGCAGATTCATCATAATAATTGTGTTATTAGCTGGTTATTCATTTTTAGTTTTTTCGTTAGATTATGTATATCTAAGGTCTCTGCATTCGATTATAAATGGTTGTTCACCAATTTGTTAGATTTATTCATACATTGATTGTTGATTTTAGAAGGGTTCCAGATATGTTCATTATTCAGCAGTTACTCTGCCATGATTCATCGATAATAAAGAGTTATTCATCATAATAATTGTTTTATGTGATTGTTATTCTTTTTTCTGTTAATTGTTATTCATCTGAGTGGGTAAATGGAACATGTATATTTTGGTTATATTCATCCGTAATATTTGATTATTCATCTATTTGTATGTTCAACATATTGTTCGAATGACCTATGCATATACATAGATATAGTTATTCACCATTAAAACTATAAGTATTCCTCCTAATGAATTTATGATCCGAATACACTACGTTTTCTGATTTTAATAAGTAAAACATGATAATTCATTATACCTGTTAAGGTATTCATCATTGGTAAAATAGTTATTCATTTAGTATGTAATTGTTATTCATCATATTAACCAGACATGTTATATAGTTTTAATGGTTATTCATCATTTTAAAGATGATTATTCATTTTCAATAGCCTTGTTATTAATAATTAACAGAGTTTTGATTGAATGTAAAATCTCACATATTGTAATTTTGTTTTTGTTTGATCAACGCAAAAAAATGCTCATCAAAATGATCTCGATCGGTCGTGAATCAAATATTTAGTAGAGTTACTGAAATCAAACAATCAACATAAACGTATCGAGCATCGGCAAAGACCTTATATGTTAAAAACAATGACTAGTTTTCCTGTTCAATTTTGATATAGTATACTACATAATTAAAATTTTGTTAATTTAGTTGTTGATAATCTCATTGTAAAATATAATTTTGTTAATTTTCTTGATCAAAGTTATTCATTCTGTTGCGCATTATTTATCCACTAACGGTATATTATTCATTTATTAAAATACAATCATTCATCTTGCAAAAACTACATATATTCTTCATTTTAATATTGTTATTAATCTAGGATGGGATCATTATTCATCAATATTTGCATCGTTATTCATCTTTGTGAATATTGTTACTCATTCATAAATTTACTCGTCCACATATCCAGTTTTACCAAAAATAAAATCCATCATTTTAACCAAAAGAAAATTCTTATGAAATAAAATAATATAAAAGCTAATAGGATAAATATTAAAAAAATATAAGTTTGAAATTAAATGTGTGCTTAAAAGATAGGATAAAATTTAGATAATTTAATGCGCGTGTAGTGTCTTAAATCCGTACTAAAAGCTCCACTTCTGTAAAAGGATAATGTATTACACATGCTTATAATATACATCTTGCAAAATGTATCTATGTACTTGTTATTATTTGCCTCTCATTCTTCCCCATTAGTAAGATTTTCACGGTAAAACTGTCAAGCATCTTTTTTTCTTTTTGTTTGTTCACATTTTCAATTTACGTCGACAACAACAGTGACTTATCATCTAACGAATTAGAAACCCTTTAATAAGTTAAACAGGTGACTAACAAATTTCTCCATACCCACAAGTTTCAAACCTCCGATATAATTAAGAGCGAATGAGTTCTTATACAAGGTATATCTGGACTTTTTTTTTTAATTATTGATAGTACTTAATTAACTCGAGCTACACAAATTTCAGGTCAAATGTCTTCGAATTATGATTCCCTATAAACAAATAATCAAATTCAACATCCTAGAAGATAGCAACCACCACTTGGTTCAACAAGTGTTGGAGATCTCAACATTTTTCACACCTATTATAGTGATATTTCCTTTCCCCTTTATAAAAACTTTTATTTTTTGAAAAGAATAACAATGTACCTAAGTTCAATTCTTTCCTCTATAAATGTTATGTTTTTTTCGTGTGAAATGATTATTCAGTTTATTAAACTAAAATATTAATACATCAAAAAGAATGATTTTTGGAAAGGAAAGGACTACCGGGTAAACGATATGTTGCGACATGGGTAAAGGCTTAGAACCAGAGTAATTTTCCAAGACAGGTAAATTAGTTCTAAGCGTACGGGCACAAGCTGAAATTACTTCTAAGGGTACGGGTACCGGCTAAATATAGTGCCGAAATGTGCGAGAATTTAATCATCCATTCACATTCTTCTCACTAATAACAAACAAAAAGCAACACCTTAATTCCTTAGATCACCAAATACTAGTAAAATCATCATATCCAAAATAAACATATATACATCTGCTACATGTGAAAGAGATGTGCTTTTGTTAGTAAATATGTATTTCAATAATAAATATTGATCTTAATTGAAGTTGGATCATTGACTGATGACCATGCCTAAACGTTATACAAAGCCAATAGACAGTCCTATCATGAGATGATTGTCCAATTTAGATTTTTATTTATAGTATAAATTATATTAAAAATAAAAATTCAAACAAAACAATCGTTTAAGGAAAGAATGAGTGCACTTTTATATATATATATATATATATATATATATATATTATTGAGTAAGGATGGATAAACATATTTACAATTTACAATTCTATATCGTAATTTATATAATTTATAATTTACAATGAAGACTTTTTTATTGGATGACGAAGAGAGAGTAATAGTAGATATAAATATGCAATTTGTAATTACATAATAATTTATTACAAATTACATAAGTTTCGACTAATTTAAATTTAAGTCGGGTAATTTCCTTGTTTTTCATATTCTGATTTATGTTTTTTTTTTGGTGAAATATTTATGGATTCAAGGATCATAACAAAATTAGAACCCATCACATCACAGTGAAAATGCCCCCACATCATCACCATAACTACGACTACTCTTCACCTTATTTTCATATTCATTTACCACACTAGTTACCAATTCTGGTTATCACTAAACAAATCATCATATATGTATAAAATTATTATTAGTATACAATTAATATGTGTATGTATAAAGGACAAAGTGGTACCAGCTACGCCCGCCATCTGGTCATGTCTATAAATACGGGATTTGTGCTACATATTCATCCCCTCTCGAGTGCATGGAGTACCATATATTTATAGACTAGTTGGTTCAAGAAGGAATTTTATGATTTGTGAAGAACTTCAGAAACCATCTTAGACACACATATATACATATCCTCGTTGTCATCCTCGTACCATTTGCCTTTTGATTCACTACTCACAGACAAAAAACAATTTCAAACGAAAACACACACAGGCAGAGTGATAAAGAGAGATATGTTGTGGTGGCTCCAAACAAACCTCCACCCAAGCAGACCAGTAGGCGTACGATCGAGCTAGTACTACTATTTCCTGCAACTCCTCCCTGGCTCCCCCCTCTCTCTTTGGTGTTGTGTGTTTGTGTGTGCGGTTCTCTCTCACACAGTCACACAGTGACACGCATACATACTAGTAATACAGAGAAAGGAGAGGACTGATTGACTGTCCCATGATTTCCGTATTTTTTGATGCACATACATATACGCCACTGCTTCACATTCACCATTTCAGTTTCACTCATCATCTTCTTCGTCATCAATTCTTCGTTTTTACTCCCGAATTTCCTTCCTTATGATCAGAAAACTCCCCCCGTTTTACCCCACCATTCCAACTGATTCTTCTATTAGGACTCCTCCACAACTCTCCTCCCTTCTCCCTCTCTATAAATTCCGAAACCTTCCATTTCCTTCTTCCTCTTCATCATCATCATTGTCATCCCCATCATCCTCTCCCAGAACCCAGATGGCAGCCACACACAACGCCGCCCCCGCCACCGCCGTCGCAACCGCTGCTCGCCGCCGCCGCAAGATGAAGAAGCTGGTGGTCGTGATGGGCCCGACTGGTTCAGGAAAATCCAAGCTTTCCATTGACTTGGCCACCCGATTCTTCCCAAACTCCGAGATAATCAACTCCGACAAAATCCAAGTCTACCGTGGGCTGGACATCACGACCAACAAAATCTCAATGCACGACCGCCGGGGCGTCCCGCATCACTTTCTCGGCGTGTTTGACCCGGATATTGACTTCACCCCTTCCGACTTCCGTTCACTGGCCCCCAAAACCATTGCCCAGATCATTTCTAGAAGGAACGTCCCCTTCGTCGTCGGCGGGTCCAACTCGTTCATTCATTCCCTCCTGGCCAAAGACTTCAATCCGGACATTGACGTTTTCGAGGAGTCCGGCCCGGTTGACTCCATCTCATCGGAGCTCCGGTACGAGTGCTGTTTCATCTGGGTCGACGTCTCGCCGCCGGTCCTGAACCAGTACCTGGACGACCGGGTCGACGACATGCTGGACTCGGGTATGTTCGAGGAGCTGTCGGAGTATTTCGCGGCGGAGGGATTCTCCGGGTCGTCGGAACCGGACTCGGAGTCGGTGAGCCGGACCGGGTTGAGGAAGGCCATTGGAGTGCCGGAGTTCGAGCGGTATTTCAAAAAGCACGGAGGCCGTTGTGGGGAATCATCGGAGGGTGATGACGTGGAGGAGAGAATGTCGTATGAGGGAGCGGTGAAGGCGATCAAGGACAACACGTGTAAGCTGGCGAAGCGTCAAGTGGGGAAGATCCTACGGCTGAGGGACGCGGGGTGGGACCTACAGAGGGTGGATGCCACGGAGGCGTTCCGGGCCGCCATGGTGACGTCAAAAGCCGGGAAGAGGGCGACGGAGATATGGGAGAAAACGGTGGTGGAACCAAGCGTGAAGATTGTGAGCCGGTTCTTGATGGAGTGAGTAGGTTTCACAGCTGTCTCCAGCATACTTCTTTCATCTACTCCTCACTCACTCGCCCCCGGCCATTTCTCTCTCTCTCTCTCTCTCATCACTCTTACCATTTCTTTCATTTTTTTTTTCTCTGTTTTCTTTTCTTTTCTTTTTCTCTTTTTTTTTCCTGTAAAAGTTTTGGGGGTTTATTTCTTTTGGGGTCTTGGGCGACCAATTTTGACGTTTTTTTATAAATATTAAAAAAAAAAATATATATATATATATATATATATATATCAGGACGCCTAAAATTGAAGGAAAAATGTGTTCTGATATACGGCAGTGGTGGTGGTGGTGGTGGAGTCTTTTAGAGTATATTTTTGGTACTTTCTAGAGGCTTTTCTAACTTCATATGACTACAAATGAAAATATTTACGAGTATTTCTTCTTTTTTTCTTGTTCTTTTTGTAAAGTTTGTCATTTACTTTTGGTTTGTGTAAAAATTGTCATATTGTTCTAATTTGGTTGAGATGGGGATGATCCAAATGAACAATGTGCCTTGGTATGGTGAAATCGTGCGTCTACGTAAATAAAATGAAAAATGCTGGCTGGAGATTAAAGTCGAAATTATGGTTCTGTGATATACTAGTATATTACATAATTATCGTTATTATTGTATTAATAAAATCCTAATACAAGTGTGTGGGACATAGGATTTAGCATCAGAATTTAGGGGGTTGGAAATTGTCCAATAAACGTCAACTTATATAGAGCCTGTGAAATGTAATTGGGAAATGTCAGTTTGCTGCAGAAGCATACAAAAATTGCCTTTTTTAAGTGTTTTCACTACTGGTTTCTTCTGCTAAATGAACGAAAATCCAACCGTCCCCAAACGCCAACAACAAAAACAAAAAGTAAGAGGCATTCCCCAAATTAAATAGTAACTTTTTTTTTCTATATAAAAAAAAAAAAGTAGGAGTAACTGTTTCGTATACACCGAAATTATTCAGATTTTTTTTTCTAGTTTATTGTATTACAACAATAAATTTCAGATATTTTTTATACATTTTTTTGAGACAATCTGTATCACTGTCCCGTAACTAATGGAAGTGATTTTGACTCTTCCGTTGGAGATAATTCCACATATTCAGGTGTAGTAAATCCAAGATTGTTGGATCGGTTTGCCTTCTTATTTGATATCAAATCTATTTCACTTCCTTGTCCAGTCAAACCTTTATTTGTATCAATTTTTTAGCAATGTGATAAAAATAAATAAATAAATAAATAGTAACGTAACAATTTTGTTCTGTACAATAGAAAAAAATAAATAAAATTCAATCTTTAATTTACTAACATTTATTTATTGTCAAGTTTATCAACTCTAGTGAAAATGAGAAACATGACAACATTGTTTTCAAGTTGTCATGTAAACTATATTTGATTTAATGTACACAAGGGAAAAAGCCCAAAACACATTGCCTTTTAGGACAAAGTATTAGTGTTAGGAATTATTCAAGAATTGACATCTTAAGTAACCCAATGGGTTTTGAGAGGGTTGTTAACGCTAAAATAGGTGGAACAAAATGATTTTGGAATCTTCTCTTCCACATTTGGAACTTTCGTTACTTCTATAAATGAGGTGTAGTGATCCAGAAATAAGATTCCTTTATGCAAATATTAGAAGGAGACCAAATTAAATTACTCCCTCCGTCCTATAATTATTATCCAGTTTGAGTTTTCGTTTCTAGTTCAAATTGTACTAAAATGAAATATCAAATTAGACAATAATTTTGGAACAGAAGGAGTAATACTTTTAGTTTTATGTTAATCAATAAATTAATGCTTAAGATAGAAGGAATTAGGACTTCTTCTCATCCTTATCTCTAATGTTGTGTTAAAAGGGGCAAATAAATTTTGTCATTTTTGCTAACATCGATTAATTAATGGCATGCCCTATTTCGATTGGGTAGACGGACACGACATACTTTTGGACGTCGCATCTTTGTGCCCCATCTAGTGCTTACACAACTCTCAAACACAGCATTTTGCTCGTGAATTTTGTATTAATAAAAAAGTACAGAAAACTATGATTACGATAATTTAGAAATAATCTATGTTAACAATATGTACCTTTTGGTTTAAAACGTTGGACAAATCGATTCAAATTTTACTTTAATTATAATCAGATTTGGTTGAAATGTGAAGACCAATACGTACATGGATGTCAATCCCTTGATTATTTAGTAATTTTTCCTCTCTTTCTTTTTTTATTTCTTTTAATCAGACTAGAATGTATTTTTTAAAATTTTTTTTTTTGTACAATAAAAGAGGCGTAACGCCTTAAATTACAACGGATCATGGGTGAGAAACACCGATAACATCGTGTTCCTGCCACGGATTGTAAGCTAAACGGGGGAGCAAGGAATCGATGATCCCCACCACTCATGGTCATTGCTAAAGAAACCAAATAATCAAAAGCAACATTCGTTTCACGACAGACATGTCTCAACTTAATTTCTCATTGTCTGCTCATCAGACTAGAACGTATTTTAAATTGATCAAATCGGCTCTGAACTCTTTCAAGAACAAGATATCTTAATTTTTTTTTTTTACCTTATTTAACCTTAAGAGTATTAACGCATAACAAACCTTAGTCGTCGTAATTGTGATTGATTTGGAAGGAAAATCATTATCACTCGTTATCTATGGAAGAAGCTGAATTATTGTTGTTGGATTGGACCACATATACCCTATGGAAACTTGGAAAGAGTTTGCTTTATGGTCTTTGTTATTAGGTCTATAAAAAGCATGAAGTGCAGTCTCCTTCTCTATATTTGGTGCACTGAAAAAAATGGTTGCTACCCGACTTATAGAGTTGGGACAATTCTCCCGCATTTTTTTTCCTAATTATGGCAGAGGGATAAAAAGCCAATTGTTAATATGTCCAAGTTGGTTTCTGAACACCATTTTAATTTATTTGGGTCATTGTCCCTTCTGGTTTTCAAAGTTTTTTGAGACACACAATTCCTTTGTACTTGAGACCAGGGACCAAACTGTGTTGCCAAAGAGAAAAGGGTCTCAATCAATCACAGTTTCTCATTCATGAAATCAGAAATGTTTTCGTTTTCTTATTCCCCGATCGATCCCTTTTCATTTGCATGATTAATTAAATATCACTTGTCTTGAATAAGGAAACCTAGCTATGATTGGGTTCCTAGAGCCAGATGAAATGCCTGCATTCATTCATTCATTTTGATTTCAATCATAGATATAGTAGGTCCTCTATATATATATCACTTTTGTTGTATGCTATTACTCCACATCAAAATCATGAATCTTTGAATCAGGCATGGCGCTCCTCTTTGCATTGAATTGCTCCTCACTTTTTGTACTAGTTCATTCCAATTTTCTAGCTACCTTTGTACGTGTGATTTAATTGGTCAAACGACCAAACATAATTCAATTGGTTATTTTTCTTTTGCTTCTACCACATTATTAATTCTTCCAAAGCAGTTAATAAAAAAAAGAAAGAAAGAAAAAGGAGGAGGAAAAAGCCACCACATTTGAAAGGGGTGAACTTTTTAATTAACTGTAGCCAAGTTAGTTTTATCTAGTTGTAGAACAGAGGTAAAAAGTAAAATCGTATATCTTCTTTGTGATTAGGTAAGGTGTATAAGACAGATTGATATTGCTCAATCTCTATGGTTGATTAGCCTAACCATAGGATTGTAATCCTCTTCTTTTTATTTTATATATGATTGCCGATTTGGGGGTGGAGGGAAAGAACCTTTAACTAACAATAATGGCTATAGTTTGAATGAAGTCCTGGAGACGAAGATAATACACAATTTTTGGTTCGTTCGAAATGTATATAATTGAATAGTCTACATACGTACTACATTTTTAATCTTTAAGAGAAAAATAATTATTTCGTAACTAAGAGGGTATTTCCCTAATAATTACGTACTTTAGTGAACTGTATGAAGTTCGGTTCGTCAAATATTTTGGACAATTCAATTATCAACAAAATTTCCAGTCAAACGCAAGGCCATTCCATGATGCATATCTTTGTTTCTAAGTACCTAACAAGCATATATCACCATCATGACTTGAGAGCTTCGAAGAGTGTGTTTGTGTTTTTTTATTTTATTTATTTTATTTCACGTAACTAGAGTTTAGATTAATGATGGATTGTCATGTCCCTAATGAGCAATTATGGGAAATTGGACCCACTATATTGACGCATGCCTCGACCACATTACATATATAGCTCAATCAACTAGAAATGGCTAGCAGCTGAAGTTGGTGGACTTGCTCGTTTTGCTAAGAATGTTGTCTTCCACGTTCTTGATAAACTTGTGCTTTTTTTGTCCGATGAGGGAGTAGTATGTTCGAAAATTTAATGTAATTAAATTCTCGTAAATTGATGTTTTTGTACACACTTAATTAGATCTACTATCTAGATGAGACACCATTCTATGCATTCATTATGTAGGATAGTTACATCCAATAAGACAAACTTTTATATTATCCACATCTCTCTTTGGAGTATGTAAATTAACATTGAGAGATTAATTAATTTCCTTATATAAATAAGAAAAAATTAAGCCTTGTACTTGTAGGTATACTAAAGTTCACATATTCGTAGTACTACTATATAACTTTCAATTTAAATTTTGGAATAGACAAATTTCTTTTTCCAATGAGTGGAGGCAAGCACGTATATATATATATATATATATATATATATATATATAATATACAAAAATTTGTCATCCAGAAAAGAGAAGGAAAAAAAAAGGCAATATTACACAACCCTCCACGCAGAAACACAACAAAGTTTGATCAAGAAAAATAAATGGTCATTATATTTGTTCACGTCATTACCATCTTATATATACGTCTTTCATTTTCATTCCAGATTAACAATTTATCTTCAAGAATCAGAAACGAATAAGGGGGAGAAAAAAAAAAGAAAAAAGAATCTAGTGAGGCATGCATGCCTACATTTGATAAACAAATGAAGAAAATATGATTGAGGAATTGGGGAGATCCAAGGAAGGTGAAAAGAGTGACAGACAAAGGTATCGAAAAGGAGGAATGAAAGTATTAGTATAAGCAGTGGCCTTGGAAGCATATTATTAATTATATTATTATTATTATTATAAAATAATGTGACACTACAATTCAACAACACATGCAAAGCATTGGACACAGAGAAGAAGAACATAATCAAACAGATGGAGTTAAGTTCAATTC